TGAAATTCTTGACCGTGACATGTATTCCCAGGTTGTTTGTGCCGTAAGCATGAGATAGGAGTGGCAGCAAAAAAGAAGAGAAACTACAATAAAAGTGAGGCAAAGGACAAACATGGCGAGAATGAGGAAGCCATTGGAAAGGAACCAGCCCAGCCAAGTTTTCTTGTGTACAAAAGCATACCTGAAATGGGCAAAGAGAAATGTAGTGTTAAATTTTTTAAAAAATGTGTACAGTTGTGATAAATCTAATTTCATGATTGATGTGAATGAATAGAGTAAACACCCCTGTGTATTTGAACCTTTTACTGATGCGGGTAAAAATATGAGTTGCTGTTATGTATTGATTTCTCATTCTGGAATTCTCTTTCTTTTGTACCAAAAACATGGTTTATTTACTAGGGTATCTAAAAGATAGTAATGCTGTGGCACATTTTGTTGATACTGGCATTAGTTAGGCAGTGAGACTTAAAAGAATCGAAAATGACATTGAATGTCCTATTTACATGTTGGAAAGTACTAGAATAATATTATTACTATCAGTCTATAGAAAGAACTCGTGGGAACATTGTTTAGAAAATGATCAAGTGGTTATCAACTCTGGTTTTCCCACAGTAAACTGTAGGAAATGATAGAAATTCAGATTGTTTATCCATATATTTAATATACGGTGTACTATATTTTCTCTGGAAACACGATACATTTCTTGCTGTTTATTGCACTTTATTAAGTAACAGTTATTTAGCTATATATTTATAGAAAACAACAACACAAGAAACGGGAAAAAAAGAAAGAAGGAAAAAAGAGTTTGGTGGTACTCGAACCCGGCACTATCGGCTCAACGCGACTACACCTAACCACTACACCACAGAGACTGATTACATAACCGTTAGGAAAAATCTTTAATTTCATGCCTTTTCCATGAAACTTCCGCCGGCAAGATGATCGCCAGCCGCATTAATCGAGCTATTAACAGAAAAAAAACAATGTAAACGGATATTCCATGGCAATGAATGAATGAAAGAACATAATTATGCTTTTCAAAACGCCGATACACGTCCTCGTCTGCAACGTAGGACACAAAACATATGTTTTGTCATCTCGATTTCCGCTGTTATTTTGAAGTGAATGGTCAAAATCACATCCATTTTTGGCTCACACAGGTTCTTAAGAATAGCATAGCATGACATTTTCTCACTTTCATAGCACCTTCTATAAGCAAGCTGGAATTTGTATATCCCCCGTGTTGCGGAGTCGAAGAGCAAATGCTCATTTTCTCGTCAGGTTTAAAGTAACACCTGGACGAGTCAAAGGCTCTTGAATTGAAATCCAATCCCCAAGTTAACCATCTACTCATCTGAAAGACTCCTGTGTGTCTTAAATTTGGTAAGACCTCTAACCGTGCTGTAGTAAACTTGCTACAAAGAAAACTCTGAGTCTGGGCAGCGAACGATGCGAACGTCCCCGTGTTTTTGAGTTGTTCGTGGCGCAATGCACTCTGGTTAAATGCAATGCATTGTGGTAAAAAGTGTGGTTAAATGCAATGCATTGTGGTAAAAAGTGATGAATTCGAGAATTCGTCGCCCCTTATATATTTTCCTTAAATCCTGATTATGTTGCTGCTCGCTCCCTACGGTCGCTCCACAGCAATCAGACTGAATTGGTTCTTATATGTATGGTGCATTATAGGCCAACTTTCAGCCTGATGTTCTTAATCCACTTGTTCTTAAGTCTTACATGTGGGTGTTTACTCAGTGATTTCGTTACCTCTGCGTCCTGTGTCCCTGATGCACAAATGCAAAATAATTTATGACATGCATCCCGAAGGACGCAAAGAACGGCTGATCGAGATGAAGATTTTTTGGTAGAATATCCTGTGCGTGTGATTTCTGTGGCTGTTGTTTAAAGATGCATATTTATTTTAGTCTTTTTTGTGCTTTAAATATATAGAAGGACTATATTTTAATTTCAGTAAACTGCAATGAAGAGTTTTGGTGTCTGTCTCCAGATTAACTGTCTACTTACATAAAGGCCAAAGCATGACTCCTTTTTTTTTTGTACTGGGACTCATTGGTTCTGGACTGGGACTCTTGATTTTTCACAAGATATTAAGTCACAAGACTCACCATAACGGTTTGTAACAAAATCACTGTTTACTGTAGCTTTAATTAAGTAACCTTGGTAAATGACTGGCTGACTCTGAAGGTAGTTACTAAACTCCTGATATAATACCAATTTCTCACCTTGAATCATCCGCATATACAAAGGAAATTGGAAGAAGAATCTAGCAGTTTAAAAAAAGTCACTTGGAGCATTATTTCATGAACTCCTTCGTGTTTGACGGAAATAGTGAATAACAACAAAGGAAATAGTACATCATAAGGTTTCAACTGCTGAGAATTTTGCTCTGTGACACCTACCAAGTAATTTCAGTAGCCCATGCGATGAGCACACACTGTGTCAAAAGAAAGCACCAAAAGAACCTGTGATTTCTCTCCCCCACACAATTCCCAAGCCATGGACAGTGATGATCATATCGCCGCACACACTGACCACAGTCTTCACAATGTTTGGCCCGAAGAGGTTGTAATATTGCACAATATCCACAGCGTCGCAGTCTAGATCCACCAAGAGGAGGAGTAGCTAAGATCTTACAAGATTCCTGGGCATCGTCTCCATCTGATTGACTTTCAGAATCATGCTCTTCTTCTGTTTTCTATAAATAGAAAATTAAGTTAGTTTAATTAATAGCTGGTTAATGATTTTCACCATGAATGGGTGAACTGTCTTTTTACTTGTTTTGATCTTTTACTAGTTCCTGGACTGACATAGGTATTCTAATCTTCTACCTTAAAACTGAGAAAACCCTGATGACAAGAAGTGCTATTGTTACCCTACTGAAAGGAAAAAAGCCATTCAGCAAGTTTTCTGAATTTGACCGTTCAGTTCAAAAAGTGACAAGAACCTTTTTAAAAAAGGCAAGGAACTATACCTGCCCAAGATAGATCAACATGGCTGGACCTAACCTAGTCTAGCATGGAGTAACTAGGAACATTAATACTCCTTTGTGACACTCATTAAAATCTATGGAGCCTATTCTTGTAGATGTTTCACATTTGGTGACGTTTAGCGAGAGATTACACCCACTAGCTAGTTCACCTGAGAAAACAAAAGCAGTTTGTTGGTTGCATTTTTCCCTTCTCAACATTACACTTAACCTTTCCTAAACCATTCACTAGCACCGAGGGTGAATAATTTACGACAGATATGTATTGGCAAAATGTCACAGCATAGATGTGAATGCCACTAATGAATGAGGTGCTTCTATGTTTACCAATCATACTCGGGCTCATTACCTTTTATGACTCAGATAATCTGCATTTTTGATGGGTGAATTTCTTAAAGTATTGCACGTAAATACATGTAAGGATCAGCTAGACGTTAATCAGGTTACTTAGTTTCAACAACCTCTGTCAGTTATTGAAGGAAATTTTTATTTCAGATTTACAATTCGTATGGCCTTGGAACAAAATTGTAAACAATGACATCGTACAAAGATTTCACTTATCTTATTAAAAAGAAAAGAAAATTTTACAGAATCCATTTCACAAGCTCGATCAAAAGAAAAAGATCTAACCTGCGCGAACATCTCTGTTATTCATTATAACGCTTGTTTCAAGAACATAACCTTACTTTGTAAATTAAGTCTGTTAAAGCAAACTAGAGTCCCAAACAGAAGTCAAAAGTAATTAAATGAAAATAGAAGAGAAGTTTTTTTAAACCAGAAATCACATTTAAAACTACGGCAAAATCGTAGAGTCAGTAATAATGAAAGTCAGTATGCAATATTCCTATGTCCGTTAACTTAATTTTAATAATCAAAGAATCTTTGAAACTCAGATCATCTTACCTCGAATGTAACCATAATACTTTTCTGGTCGCTTATTTCTGCAAACCCAGGATCCATGCAACTTGCAACGAAGTAGAAAATAAAGCCGATAAAACAAAGCGAGAAGAAGCCAGCGACATACAACCAATTACCACTGAAACAAGCTCGCCGTAGTTCTGAAAGGAAGTAAGGTACGTAAGTGACGGAAACTCAAAATTTACGTATCTCTAAAGTGGTGGATCGAACCTTCCTAATAGAAAAAGATAATCTAAATTACCTGTATCTTTAAGCACGAGAATTAAGACGATTCCTGTCGTTAATGATACGTGAAATATTCGAGAAAGAATTCTCTCATGGCAATTCTTCGCCTCCATGTTCAGTTTTTTTTTGTGTTGTGTTTGCTGGTACTGCGGGCTCGTATTATCTCCTGACGAGTCTCCTGATTCCCTCAGTGCATCCTGGGACGACACTGGACGCGCGAGATCCTCGAACCGCGAGGTTTTCTCAATCAACACCGATCTCGGTGCCATTTTCCCCGTTTATGCCCTTCCTGCAGACTTAGATCAAGGCCAGAAACCAATCTCTTCGGGTTTTACTTTGGGGATGAGAAGTCCGGATTTTTTTTAGCCTGTGTACAGTTTTCTCCTCCCCTCAAACTCTCTCCCCGATCTTTGAGGGGAGGGGGCGGTACACAGGAGTTCACCAGCAGTGAGTAGACCGCCTGTTCCAGGCGTTCAGATAGTGGAGTGCGGTACGAAGGAAGAGACGGAGAAAAAGATAAGGAGGAAAAAAGGGAGAGGGCTCTCACCCCTACCCCATCCCCTCTTTGTTTGTTTGTTGTTTTTTTTTTCTGCTTACATCTTCTTTACGCTGTCCCCGCGATCTGAACTCCTGGAACAGGATAGTGAGTAGAGCGCGCGGAAAATTGACAAGGAAAGGGAAAAAAAAAAAACAACGACAAAAACAAAACAACAACAACAACAAACAAGGGGCATCTCGTTTTACCCGCCTACGATTAACTCGCTTTGGCCCACGCTGAACGCTGCGCTCGACCATATGAACGCCTTAGAACAGGCTATACACAGGTTTTTTTTTCTTTTTTTGTGTCGGAGCGCTTCCGCCTTTATATTCCCATACGGCTTGATTTCACTTGCATATTGTACTGAATAGGCAACAAAATTTTATAGTTGAGTCACTTTGCCATCGAAAAATTTTTCTCTTCCTGCCGACACGGACCTTCTTCAAAATTGAACCTCAAACTTTTGAAATTCCCTCCCAAACCTCGTCCAGACAATTTGGTTTTCCCCGGATTGTAGCTGTTGTTTAAAAAAAAAAAAAGTGACTGGGAGAGTTACAATCATTTGGACAGAAGAAAGTGATGAACAAAGATGAAGGATGAAGTTGCGCGAATGCCAAAACACGGCATTCAACACGGCATTCACTTTTTTCTTATTGTTTGTTTGTTTGTTCACTTTTTTGGGGGGGGGGGAGTCTGAATTGCCATTTATTTTGTCCAAGACGGGTTTTGGTTATGGGGCTGCAAAACGCCTTCCAAAAGTATATTTGTTACTCAGGGTTCAGTATAATAGGCAAATAGAGGAAGGATGTCTTATCTAAGTTCTCTGGCGACCAAGGCAACTATTTCTTCAAAAAGTTTTAAAAATGTTGCATGACTATGCAAAATTTTTAACTAATGTCGAGATTGAGATTGTAAGAAACCATTGGAAACCGGAGATTACTATGTAGCTATTGGTTCCCCGTAATTTATTCGGAGATCAAAGTCCAAAGTTCAGTGATCTGTCAGATACATAAACATGCGCTTTTAGAACTAGTGACTTCGGAGATTTTTTACAGAAGTAACAGTGTCCCACTTTTTGCTATTTCTGGATTTAATCTAACAGCCGACGAACCAAGAATTTTATCAGGATATCTCGTCCTTGAGTGGAGACTGGAAGCAAACGAAGGTAGAGTGAAATGGCGACTCCTTGGAAGCTTTGGCGCTGTAATACGCGCTGTATTGTGAACGCGCTTCATAATTGAATTTTATTTAAGCTACGACTCGATAAATTTACATGTACATTTTTCCACTGCAGCTTTTCGAAGGAGTTCGTATGTTGGGTGTAGTTACGAGACAGATTCCAAAGGCGAAGGTAAGGAAGAAAGTTTGTTGGCGAGACTAAAATTATTGGCTAACAGCTGTGAAGAGTCTCTTCGCTGTTCATGCATACATGCACGTTGTCCACGTCATAAGGTGTAACCGGGGGTGTGTTCCCTTCGAAATAAACAAGAACTTTTCGATTTCTAAACCTAATCCGCTCTCAGACGCTTTTTTTTGTTCTTTTTGAGAATAGCGGGAAAGAGACATACATACATAGTGGAACCTCCCGTAAGCGACGACCACAAAATAATGTTAAGATTATATGTTGGTTGGTGGAGATGGTCGCTTTCGAGAATCAAAGTAAAGGTGTCTCTTTTGAAGTAGAGGTTCCGAAACATCCATAGACTGTTCACAGTCCCCTATTTTTACGTGATATCGTCGAGATCGAATGCTTTGCGTTACGGGCCGCCATCTTGCATGAATGTCAAAACTACTTGGGGGGCGGGGGGGGGGGCGGGGGCGGTTTGGGTTTGAAGCGAGAAAAAGAGAGGGACTGTAACAATATCACTGAAGCTCGCGTTCAGGAGACGTGACAGGAATTTCACGCCTATTACCTTTCATTCATTAAGAAACTCCACTGGAGATGAAAAACGTGCCAGACACATTTAGCATCGATTTTGCGTGTTTACAAAATCTTTTAAAAACAGTGATTTTATACAGTTTCTTGGACATTCCTCCAAATAAAGTCGGCAAGCATGCACAGGAGAAACATTTTCCCAAAGGAAGTGCTAAGCATGCTCGCTTCACCACAGATTACAACGGTTAAATCTCCCAATAAAAAGCCAGGCATTTCTGACAGGTCGTCTTTTTACATCAGCGTAGCGTTAAATTGCAATTCGTTTGGCAGAAACTGTGTTACAACATTCCCCTGGCGGGGCTGCTTCAAAAGCACCTTGGCTTAGGTCATTCATCCACAAAACACCAAAAATCCTTTGTGTGTTTGCACAAGATGTGCCTTATGGTAGTATTATGAAAGCATATGTTTTATAAAAACGATGACTTGTCAACAACTTGTCAGTGTCGGCAACTTAAACTAAACCCGTTGTCAATGCAAATTAACATCTATTGTCTAATGACCAATCAAATACCTGCATTGCTGGTACAATGCGCTCTGTGAATGCGAGCTGCAATGATGTTTTTACAGTCCCTCTATTTTTTTCGCCCCCCTCCCCCTAGTGCTATAATTCCTGACACCCATACCCTCGGTACGTTTGAAAATCAAGATGGCCGCCATTAACGGTAAGACGCCCTATATCTCGACAATCTCAGAAAAAAATAGGGAACCGTGAACAGTCTAAGGCCCAGTTCAGACGTCGTGCTTCTGCTGTGCCAAACTTAATTGTAATTTGGTTCGACTGTAGCACGGCAGGAAAACAACTTTGATTCAGACGTCCTGCCAGAGTCGAACCAAATTCAGGGTTTACTTATGCCTCGTAACAATTTTTCTCCCAACTCCCCGTGGGAACGCAATCTCACCAAAATACATTAATATAATTTATGAATTTTGTTTAGCTCGGCAGAAGCACGATGTTTGAATCGTTGCAGTGCCAGAGCCGTGTAGCACGGCAGCGCTGGTCGAAGTTGATTGCTTGCCGAACTTAATTCAAAAGTTTGATTCAGATGCCGTGCTTCTGCCGTAATAATAATAATAATAAACTGAAGTCTCTTTTTAAGCTTTCATATCTGAATTCAGGTGTTTTACTAATCCTAGGTTATCTTAATCCAGCTTTAAACAACCCAGCCCAGGAGGTTAAAAATAATGGACAATAATTATACTGTCAGGCCAAAAAGTGGTTGTGGTCGTTTATGAGAGTTGGAAGGTTATGGTCATAGTAGACCTGGCCTCAGTTGTTCAAAAGCTGGATAGCACTATCCACCGGATAAATTAACTTCCCTGATTAACTTATCCTGCACTGAATAGAGATTTATGTTATGGATAGTGCTATCCAGCTTTTTCAACACCTGGGGCCTGGTTTTTAGAGGACAATTAGATAATTCTTCATAAAATGTTTATTTTACAGGAAAAAATGGGAAGAGAAATTTGGGGTCTTAAAGGGAGGCTTGTGGCTGCTTAATGTAGGGCGTCTGCTAGGTGTGAGAGTGACAGGTGCTGCCTACCTTTAAAAGTCTCGAGATAATAACCCTTTCTCTTTGGCCTTTTTAGACTGCATCACAGACGTAATCTAACCCCAGTTAGTAAGGTCTGCGAAGCAGTGCCAATACCCATGTTCTGGGCCCCTTACGGAATCAGTGAATTTCCAGAAGTACATTTCGAATTTCCCTTTAACCTGATTGGCAAATTGACAATGGTATTTTTCAACAGGCCAATCATGGTGCGTTCTCAAATCCTGCTACGCAGGCAGGGACCTAGAACAAGGATTTTGGGGCTGTTTCATAGACAGACTTAACCAGAAGTTAATTTCCATCTGGGGTGTAGGCAATGGCCTTTGAAGTTGTTAATGTTTCTGTTATTTCATCAGATTGCTGTTAGATTTACAAATCCAGTCATGGTGAGAACATCAGCAGCTCTTTACAAACCTTTCAGTATGCTGGCCAAACAGGAATCTCTTCCTCCTCTGCCTGTGCCACCTCTCCAACAAACAATGGACAAATATCTGAAGGCAATCAAACCATTGGTGGATGAAGAAGACTTTGAATACACTGAGGATCTGGTAAAGAACTTTTCTAAGCCAAAAGGAGATGGTGAAGTGCTGCAAAACTTGTTACTGGAAAAGATGAAAACTGAGAAGAACTGGGTAAGCACTTTCTACACTGCACATATTTCTTTTCATGGCCAGCTTCTACTGTCATGTCATGCTTGAAAGTCAAGTCTATTATCAGGGCTGCAAATAACGGCCGGTCAATGGACAATGTCCGGCCTGATCGCGGACTTGACCGGTCAAACTCCGGTCTTGCCGGTCACTTTGACCAGTCATTTTTGGATACAAACACTTTATTTTCCATACAGTTGTCGCTTAATGCTCTATAACGCTGCAATGATTTCTTTTTTCTTTGGCGTTTTTTGCTGCTTTGCACTGAACCCTTCTAAGGAAGAGAGCGCCACAATAAATTAATTTCATGTCGTCATGTCGTAATCTAACGCAACAAAGTGAATAACAAACTGAGTTGGAAAGTAACGCAACGTTGCAAGTCGTACTGTACTTTCGGCTTTGCTGTGATCAGCAATGTGACCTTCTTTGGGAATTCGAAGGAATTCAGGATCATTCAGGCAAATCGATCGCAATTCTCAACAGGTCGTCCTGTGTTTCTCCGGGAATAAATGTTAGCGCATCGATTAATAATAATTTCTTTTATGTCGAACATGAATCTCTTTTGCAGACTCGATTCCAGAATGGTTCGATAAAAATTTAAGCTACTCAAGAGGGAAGGTCGTCGTCTGTCGCGGCACTAGATTCTCGTTCTTGTAAACAACTTTATGCAAATTTCTGTTGACATTTGAGTCCTTCGCGATAAAATGTTGTGCGATGACCCAACTTTATTTATTGACTTCTGATCATCAACACGCTGTTTGTGGAACAAACTTCTCGCCAATGCAAATCAACTTCTTTGCCGAAAATATCAGCGACGATTCTTCTTTGAGGAAGTGACTTTCGATCGCGTGCCAGGCAAGGAAAAAGATCAAGTTTCACCGATGTTCATTTCGGGAATTTAAACGCGCGAAAACCGCGGAAAGGAACTCAACAACGTGCGAATGCATTTTTCACCAACTTGCTGTCAAAAATGTGAACATCAATGTAGTAATAATGATCTATTGCCAGGATAATTGGATATTCCTTAGGCAAAAATTATTAGTATTCATTATTAATTTTGACCGGCCAGAATCGGGGTTTGTCCGGGCTAAAAAATATTTGGCCGGTCATCATGACCGGCAACCTGCTGTCTGTTATTTGCAGCCCTGATTATCTTTCTTTTTTTGGGTCTAGAGTAGGAAGCTGATTAAATGGTAGAAGATTTTAGTCTAGACTACGGAAGCTGATGATTGACACTTTAAAAATTGAAATCAGCCAATCTAAATTTTTAAAGCAAAGAAAGCACCGAAATCAGTAATTTCTGGAAAATAGCCACTCTAGGATGGATAGGGATGGACTTTTGGGAGTTTAGTCTAGTTTAGGTAGCAAAATTCAGCTGTACAAAGTTTGGGCTGTATTTTAAAGCTTTAAGGGTTCCATGGTCCCAAACATTTCTCAAGTACCTCCCCCAGGGCCCACTGCCACAAGTTACACCATACAGAACTGCACTGGAGCCAGGTATGGTTCATGTGCATGAGTTCCAAATCAGTCAAGATAGATCCATTTCATTTTGTCTCTTTCAGTTGGCTAATTGGTGGGACAATGCTGCCTATTTTGACTGCAGATCACCAGTGGTGATTACAACAAGTCCAGGACTTTCCTTTCCCAAGGTTCCATTTACTGGCAAGGTTGATCACCTGAAGTGAGTTGGCTGTAACTTGATTAAATGTTTTAGTCGTGTTGTCATTGCTCACAGTGAATTACGTAGTCAGACAAATTCAGGCAATTATAATGGTTGTTTTAGCACTAACAGTGGTACTTGGTTACAGTGTGTAAGATTAACACCCTTTGGTAATAACAAAATGGTATTTGCCACTTTAGAAACGAGCTGGAAATAGGGCCTAGTTACATTTTGCTAAGATGTCTGGGACTGTCTCTAGGGACACTGGAAAAAGAAATGGCCAATACCTGTCTGGCACATCCCCAGCTCCAGTTCCCTTCCGATCATTTCTAAAGTGGCAAATAGGCCATGATTTTACAGTTGTAGGCTTAGTGTCCTAGCGGTTGAGTGATTGTGAGGTTGAGGTTGAGGTTGAGGTTGATGTTTTGATACAAACCTTCTTCGTTTTGTAATGAAAATTATGGTATAAAAATTAACAGTTGTCTGTGTGAGAACAACATGTTTACATTTAGTAACTGTTGCTTTTACTATCAAAACAAAGTCAACTCCAGCCTTGTTTCCACCTGTAACTGTAAAATGGACTTTTAGTATTTGCCGCAGCTTGATAGTCACTGTGACATATAGCCCACTTACCAAAAACTGTTCTGAGCGTATTTTCCCAAGTCTGGCGTAATATTTTTTTTGTTTTTTTGTTTTCATGATTCCACTGTAGTCATGAGGTTCTCGTGACTCTTGAATTTTATGCAAAAGATGTGAGATTTATCATTATTTTACATTTATTTATAGTTATTTTTAATACCAATGGTTGAGATCTTAAAGAGCACAGATGTTCAAGGCTTGTTAAACAGTTTACAAACATAAAATTTTTTTTCATTTTGTCAAAAATAAAAATTCAGACAACAAACTTACAGTGATCGATATCCATCCAGATTTATGCAGCTCCTGTAATTGTTGCTTCACCTAACAACAATTTTTTTCTCTTTTATTTTGTGTTTATAGGTATGCTGCAAGGGTCATCTCAAGTGTCTGGAAGTACAAGAATCTCATTGATAGGTATGTGAATCAACAGCCTTTTCAACTGACTACATGAAGCTGCCATGATTGTAACGTGATCTGATCATATTGTCTGATTGTTAAGTCACGTACTTCTTGTAATCATTGCAGTGAGTCAGTTCCTGTAGACATGATGGGAAAGGCTCCATTGTGCATGGTTCAGTACTTGAAGTTGCTTGGTACCTGTCGAATCCCACAGCCAGCAAGAGATGAAGTGTTTGTGGCTCCTAAGGGCACATCCAAGCATGTCATAGTTGCCTACAAAAATGAGGTGATTTTATAACCTACAGTACAAGCACTGAAGCTCTCTTTTCTTAGTCCCTTGAGTGACACACGTAAGACACTAAAATGACTTCTTGCGTGACTAAGAGGCTCCAGACAGGAGAGGCGTGAACTTTCTTTTTGTTTTCCTTCTATGGGCTGCAGCCCTTGTTTCTTGCATTTTGTGCCTCGACTGTCGGAGTGATTGCTGTCCCCAAATGGCTCTTTCATGACTTATTATTCTCTCTTTTTTTGCTAGGACAGTAGCTCTGTACCCCAAGCACGAGACCCTTTTTTTTCTTAGCACTGCAGTGTCTGACTCTGTTCTTTTTAACAGTTCTACATCTTGAATTTGTTTAATGGAAGCCAACTGCTGACTGAAGGAGAGTTGGTTGCCCAATTAGAAAAGATAACAAACAGCAGTGATCCCCCTGAGGAGCCTGTAGGAGTCCTTACTTCAGCTGAACGAACATTCTGGGCTAAACAGAGGAAGAGGCTTTTGAGAGGTACATGTACAACATGCGCAATACTTAAAAAGAACATACAATTAAGAAAAAGAAGTTGTTGACCCTTTAAAGCCCCAAGAGTGACCAACAAAATTAATACATCATAAATCAAGAGAAAAGATTTGAGAATTAATAAAATAATCACGTAAGGGAAAATGCTTCGATCTTTTGAAGCTCTCTCAACTAATTCTGTAAGAAAATGTAT